CACTGCTCTCACAGGCAAGGAGACTGGGCGTGTGCCTGCACGTGCTCCCCCAACTGGCACCGTCACCTGCCACCATGCTGCCGGGCCTACGCACTCCTGAACGGGTAACCAGAGCTTAAGCAAAACACCCACGGAGTTCGAACTATGCAAATAGACACACACTCAGATGGATGCAGGGAAGGGGAGGGGGCTGGGAAATGGAAGAAGAGGCAGAAGATTCCTGGGGATATGGCATGGGGCGTGTGTGCAGGGAGTCGAGAAGTGGCACCTCTGCTCAGGGGCCGGTACACACACTTCCCCCAGGTTCCTTTCCCTGCCTCCAATTGGGCTTCAGCTTGGCATTAGATTTGGGGCAGGCCCTGAATGTCAGGAGATGCCCCCACCCTCTCCCTGCCAAGCAGGGGCAGCCAGACCTGTGTGGGTACCAGGGCCTCTGGCACAGCTTCCCGGGAGACCGGGCAGGCCCGGGCGTGATGCATAGGGAGGAGGTGTATGGGGGTGGCTCTGAAAAAAGCCCGGCTAGGCAGGGCGGGAGAGTTGAAAGGCCCCTGGCAGCTCCCCAAGCTCTTGTGCCTGGGCAAGGAAAGCACAGCCTGAAACTCCTGGTTTCTGAAGGGTGGGAAGGCGGGATTTTTTGAGGCCTGCTCCGTTCAGGCTGCCTCCCAGATTCTGTCATTCCTCTGAGGCCAGAGGGGCTGCCAAGCGTGGCGGGCACCGAATCATAAGCTTCCAGAAACAGCTAGGCTGGTGCCCTCGTTTCCCACTGAATATGGGAAGAATTTGCTGAAGACATTGTTCCTTTGACCAGGGTACTACAAACACTATGAAATGAACAGCAGCTGGAAATGGGGTCCTGGAGGTGCCAGAAACTATTTTAAAGCATTTTCTGGATATTAACCCCTTCAGTTCCAACCTTGCCCCTAGAAAGTAGGAACCATTATTGTCGTCTCCGTCTTTTAGAAATGAGAAAGTAATTTGCTCAAGTTCACACAGCTAGCATGTGGCAGGGCTGGGATTTGAACCTAGGACACTTTAAATTCTGTTTCTTTGGGAATCAAGCAGACAACCATTTAGGAACAGGTTGGAAATGGCTTAGGAGTAGGTATTGCAAACTTGAGTGCCTTCAGGGCCAGGGAGGTGAAATAGATGTGTGACTCAGGCTGGACAGGGAGGCCTGAGCTCCAACTGGAGAGGTGTCCCTATGCAAATTCCCGAAATACAAAACTTGCCTAAGGCCATTTTGTGGCTAGTTCAGAGAAGCTCTAACCTAAACCCAGTGCACTTGGGGCTGAAAACAGACCCCAGCCAGGAAAGTGTGGCCTACCAGGGCATTCCACTTGTTTTGGGGATGGCCTGAAAGGCCACAGAAGCAGCAAAGGTAGAGATGGATCAATGACAAAGTGGGGAGTTGCCTGTCACTGGAGGAACAAGGCTCATGTTAGCCTAAGTCAAATGCCACACCCCTATGGCTAGGAGGAGACGGTCCAAGGAGGCTACTCCAGCTCCAGGGCTCGTCTAGCACATGGATTCCTTCATTCTAGGATTTTTTTTTTTTTTTAAAGTGTATTTTATTGATTTTTTACAGAGAGGAAGGGAGAGGGATAGAGAGTTAGAAACATCTACCAGCTGCCTCCTGCACACCCCCTACTGGGATGTGCCAGCAACCAAGGTACTTGCCCTTGACCAAAGTCGAACCTGGGACCTTTCAGTCCACAGACCAAGGCTCTATCACTGAGCCAAACGGTTTCGGCCATTCTAGGATTTTAGCTTCAACCCCATTATAGTTCCTTACTATAATCCTTTAATCTGCTTTTCTGATCTGTTAAAAGTAGAGTAATAGCCCTCACTGGTTTGACTCAGTGGATAGACCGTTGGCCTGAGAACTGAGAGGTCCCAGGTTCAATTCTGTTTGAGGGCATGTACCTTGGTTGCTGACATATCCCCAGTAGGGGGGTGTGCAGGAGGCAGCTGATGGATGTTTCTCTCTCATCAATGTTTCTAACTCTATCCCTCTCGTTCCTCTCTCTAAAAAATCAATAAAATGTATTTTTTTAAGAGAGTGATATCATATTAGAGGTCGAATCTATATATGTGCTGATTTTCAGTTGGTTTTGACCTACAAAAATATCAATTTCTTACGATTCAAGCCTATAATTTTCCTACCTACTTGCCAGGTTCAGAGAATAAAGGAAAATGCTAAAAGCCAAAGGCTCACTGCCATGCACATAGCAGGTGCTCAGCGAGTGCTTGGTGAATGTAAATGCTGGTTCCAGAACCAGGTGGGCATAGCCTTCCCTCCTCACTTCTAGCCAAAGCCAACTTGATGTAGACAAGTCAGGCAAAGTAGTTCTTTGAGGGAAATTCACGTCCATACGGCTCCTCCTGGATACTCCCCCCCCTCCCCCCCCCATCCCCACCATAACAGCCAGAATTCAGAGCAGTCATCATGGCCAGTTTTCAGCTGTAGACGGAGACAACCGCCCAAGACCACCGGACAGGGAAGACGATTCAGCCGCTTAGATGTGGCACAGCCCAAGGCCACCGGACAGGGAAGACGATTCAGCCGCTTAGATGTGGCACAGACCAAGCTCTTGGTGCATCAGGTTTTTCGGACTACACGATCCCCTCGAGAGTAGCTAAATGGATGCGCCCCAGGTAGAAGGCGCTCTCCCGCGCTACTGATTGACCATGAATGTGGCACAAAGGAGGGGGTGGTGGCGCCTACGGCCAAGGACCTCCTTTCTCCTCTGAGACGAAGAGTGGCTGGCCCCAGGCCCGCGGCTGGCGGTGGTCCCGAGGGAACCGAACAAGAGTGGGGACGCGTGGTCCTCCAGATTGGCGCGCGCCCACCTGGAGAGAACCCCACCGTCAGCCGTCGGGACGCCTTGACAGGGCGGAGACGCGGCGAGCGTTCCCTTCGCCGCCGGGAGGGGACAGTCCGTCGGGCAGCGGGAGGTGGCGTGGTTCCCTCTCCCGGTCCAGAACCAGCCCGCGTTTCTACAGGCCAAAAGACAGGGAGGGGGGACCTCGCCCCCCCAATTCTGTGGGGAAAGCCCCACGGGACAGCGAGCAGGCGGCAGATGTGATGGGGATGAGGCCGTGCGGGACGGGGAGAAGGGGAGCGGGCTCAGAGCCGGCCGGCGCCCAGGCATTCCGGCCTTTTCCCGGCCGGGTAGCGGAGTCGGAGGCCCGGGGGCAGAGCGCGTGGTAAGCTCAGCCAGTGGGTTTCGCGGTGGAACTGGGGCCAGCTGGCCCCTGACCTAGGAAAACCAAGGAGACTCAGTCTCTCCTCTGCGCCAGGCTTACAGCTCCACAGACCTTGGCAACCTTCCCTGTCCTGCGATCCCAGACTCCGGGTTTTCTCCATTCCCAAATCGGCGGCCCCAGGAGACGGACAGTGGAACCCGCCAATGGAAGGACGCAAAGCGTCAACTTTGTGTTCGCCCGCCACTCTCAGCCAGTGAGCGCTCGTTCTTCCGGAGTCCCGCCTTCCGTGTGGGGCGCCCCCTTCTGGCAGCACAGGGACGAACCCTGTCAGTCGCCATGTTGTGTGTGGCAAAGATATTTTTCTGGATCGTACTTGCACCTCTTCTAATCTTTCCTCCCACACAGTTGGTTTCTTAAATCGACAGCCAAGTGCGGTGGCGATAAAGAGGGAGCAGCCTAGGGGTTTACGATCCTCTGCTTGGGGTGGGCCGACACGTCACGCCACGCTCGCGGAGCCCGACGCCATTTTGAGTGTGGCGTCTTGATGGTTCCCTTCTCCGGGCTCCGCGTGGTCCCCTACAGGGCGCCCCAAACTTCAAGGAGCCCCCCAAGGATTAACCCAACTGATTATTGCCCCCTTACACTCCATCGCATTCATGTGCCCCTCGCAGCCCCTTCAGTGGGAGGGGAGCCGGGGAGACTAGGTGGCCGGGCTCTGGAAGGAAGCTCCCTGAGGCTGTCGCGACGGCAGTGACCGTCAGGGAAGGCGCTATCCCGAACCCCGAGACAACGCCCGTGGGCTGCTCAGGTCGGGTAGTAGCCCGCACCGGTCCTCCGGGCCCTTCGATGTATGGGACACTGAGTGTGTGTGCTTGGCGTGGAGCCCGCTCGTCGGCTGTCTTTGGGGGTGCACGCAGGGGCAAGTGGTGGCTAAAGTTGGTGACATCCCCAAAGATTTGGAACCCCCGCGGCGGGGCAGAGGGGGCGAACCAAGTAAGAGTCGTGCGGACAGCCCAGGTGCGCGGGTCTTGGCCTCGCAGCCCTCAACGCTAGTCGTGGGACCTATGCCCACTTGCACTGAAGCAATTCTTGGTGGAAGGTACCCAAGCGTGTGGGGCAGGGATCTCTGCAGGCACTGCGCAGGCACCGCCCGGGGTGAGCGCAGCCCAGCACCCAGCCTTCCCATCCCCCTCGCTGGCAGCCGTCGTTCGCGCAGGCCGCCACCTCCTTTGCCCTCCCCCTCCTTCCGCGGGGAGGGGTGAAGGGGGGCTGGGCGGGCAACTTTGCCGCGCTTTGGCTTTTGGCGTCGGCGGCTCCAGCAAAACAGCAGCGGGAGCGCGCGCCCTGAACTCGCGCGCGCGAGCCCTTCCCCCTCGGCCTCGGCGCCGCTGAGACCCAGCAAACTGAGGCCCTGAATGACAGAGCGACCCGCGATTGCGCAGCGCGGGACGCACCGAGGCACTGCCGCTTTAAGCACGCTTGCCCATTGTTCAGATTGGAGCCAATGAGCGAGCGCCCGCTCCCTAAGCTTAACCAATAGCATTTGGGTAAGGGAGGCCGGGCGCCGCCCACTAATCTATATTAAAGGTTCTGGCGCCGCGTGAGTCCCCCACTGGCTGCTCCGAAAAGCCATCTTTGCATTGTTCCTGTGGCTTCCTCTCCGCTCGCTGCATCCACCTCCGCCGCGCGCCTCCTCCACCGCCGCGGACTCCGGCAGCTTCTTCGCCAGAGTCCTCCAACTCTCCCGTTTTTTAAAAAAAATCCTCTGCACAGGATCACCGGCGTGCCCCACCATGTCAGACACGGCCGTGGACACCAGCTCCGAGATCACCACCAAGGTGAGCTGGACGCCGCCGCCCGCCCCTTCGGGGTTGGCGCGCTGTTGTCGCCGGAGCGGTGCTTGGCGCGCGGCGGTTGGGCTTTCCTGAACCCGCTGTTGCTCTCCCGCGGAGAGCTCGGCCTAGGCCCTCGAGGCAGCCCACTCTTTGTGTGCGGGGGAGGGGGCGGGAAGTGCTGCGGGCAGACGTGATGCCGGTCGTGGAGCGGGCGGGCCACCCTCGGAGACTCGGGGAAGGCGGGAGCGGAGGCTGAGGGGCTCGAGGAAAGACTGCTCCTCGGCTCTGGAAACTTGCTGGACTCTCCCGAGCAGTGACGGGAGGAGAGGGGCCCAGCCAGGGGGTCGTCGGCCAGGCGGGAGCACGGAAATAACTTTGAAACTCCAGTGCGTTTGGAATCGGAAGCGTTGGGGGGGCGCGTATGCGGGCTGGCCGCGGGAAGTGGCCTCTCCGCGGTGAGCGCCCGCCGGCGGCGCTGCTCTTTGTTTGGCGTGAGGTTGCCTCGTTTCGCGCCATGCAGCGGGTCCGAGGCTTATCTGCGCAGAGCTCCGATAAGCGGAGTGGGAGGCGGGCCGTCCGCGACGTCAGTTTTCTCCACGGAGATGTTCGGTCTTATCCTCCCTAGGTGTGGGGAGGCGGGGGTGGACGTCTTCCCGGAGCCAGTGCGCCGGGAGCCTCCCGGTTTTCGTACACTAGCGGAGCCGGGCTTGGCGGAGAAGCCCACGCGCCGGAGGGAGGAAACAGAAAGTGAAGGAGCTGCGCCTCGGGGCGACTATGGGCGCCCCCCGCGGCTGCCGGGAGAGACCGTGCGCGCAGCTCCTCCCGGGGCGACGCGGCCGAACAAAAGCTGCGGCCGCAGGTAGCCCGCTGTGGGGTCGTGCGGGGCGCCAAGGTGATCGGGATCCTGTGCTGCGGGGTCATTGCCGCCTCGGTTTTGAGGTCCTGCGCGCTTGGCGCGCTTGGCGCAGCGGGGCTTGTGCACGCCGCCTCGGTCCCTTGCCGGTCCCGGGAGTGTCTCCGCCGTCGGCGGGAGCGCGACCCTTTAAAGCGGACCAGGTTTTTTTAGCCCTCGGCTCTTGGCCTCGTCTCTAACGGCCCCGAGTCACCTTGGCGTCTCCTTAACCCTAGTGCCCCTGGCGTCACCTCTGGCTCTCCCCAGGGGCGACTCGCCAGGCAGACGCGGGCTTGCGACCGGCTTTCTGAAGAGGCTTCCTCCGACCCGCTCTGGGCACAGCCGGAGCCTGGTTTAGATGGGAAGGTTGTCCCTCCGCCGTGCGGGCGTACGCGCTTGCTTCCCCCCAGGGTGGTTTCCCACCAGAGGCAATAGCCGGGTGGAGCGCGTCCCTGACGGCCTCGGGGCTGTGATACCGAAAAAGCCCGGCACACTTTGGGGCGGTCTCCCGCGGGACTTTGCCCGCCAAATGCAGAGGCGCAAAACCCCGCGTTTCTAGTTCTGCGGGGCGGGGGTGTTGCGCAGTCGTCCGGAGCCCGGAAAGATTGGTGCACACCTCAAGCGCGCGGCGGGGCCAGCGCAGCCCGCCGGCGACGAGTCTCCAGGGTCAGAGGCACACTCGGCGGCTCCGGGCCACGTGCTCTGCGCGCGCGGTGCGTGCAGAGCCCGCGCGCAAAGCTCGCCGGGCGGGGGCTGCGCGCCTGCGCAGTGCGGCCTCCCCGCCCCCACTCGTTCCCTAGGGCTTCAGCCGCCAGGGGGCGGGAGTGGGCAGCGCCCAGTCGGGTCGCAGTGGGGCGGGCCGGGGCAAACCGGGCCGACAGGTGCCCCGAGGCCACTTTCTGGACGTCGCCCGGGGCAGCTCGATGCCTGTCTGTTGGCGGTTGGCCCAGCCGCACTATATGGAAAAAATTACGGGGCTTCAGGGCGTCCGCAGCAGCACTGCCCTTTGGAATGCCGGCCCTCTCGGCCCCCTGAGGTGCGCGGGGGGGCTAGAGGCGTTTGGGGTCTAGGCACTGGTTACCTTAGCCCAAACCCGTTTCCAGACAACGATCTGCAGCCCCCTGGGATAGTTGTCAGATATGGGGAGGGTTGGTGGAATTTGGGTTTTTTCAAAGGCCTGAGCTTGCCAGGTCCTAGACTGGCGGCTTAGGGCTGGAGCTCTGCTGCAAGGATTCTGGCTGGGGAGGCGGCCTCCTCAGTTCTGCCTGTTAGCTCCTTCCTTTCCTGGGTGAGTCCACCCTCGGAACTCCCGAAGTGTTAGGGTCCTCCCTCTGCCTTATTTATGGCGCATACCTGCTGCCTTCCCAGAAGGACTTGGGAGAGGCGGAGCTTCCTCGGCTGGAAACAAGTCGGATGAGGGCGTGTGAGTTCCCTGGGCTCGTCCACCCAGTCAGACGGGTTTGGGGCTGTGGTGCCACATGGCATTTTAAGTGTTTCTCAAGGACTGAAAAATCGGACATCAACCTGACCACAGACAGACTGTATTTGTGGCCTTTTCTTCCGCTGGGTCCACGTGTTAAGTGCGGCGCTTTTAACTTGGGCATCCAATTAGCACTGTATAATACCTGGAGTCTAGGGCCCATTAAAAGACTTTTCCTCCTTCCTCTTTGAAGGACTTAAAAGAGAAGAAGGAAGTTGTGGAGGAGGCAGAGAACGGAAGAGATGCACCTGCGAATGGAAATGCTGTGAGTGCCCACCACTCAATACCCCCTAGCTGCTCCTGGCGGGAAAGTTCTCTTCCTGGGCTTAGTCCAGGGTCGGGGAGGAGGCTGGACAGTGTTGTGTCAAGTCACCTGGTGTCTCTTCAGGGGTCTGAGGCTGTAGAAGTGTATTGGGCAGGGTTTGGGGCAGCAGTGATGCTCTATCCTAGGTAATAACCTGGTATGTTTTCTGTCGAGGAGAATGAGGAAAATGGGGAGCAGGAGGCTGACAATGAGGTAGATGAAGAAGAGGAAGAAGGAGGGGAGGAGGAGGAAGAGGAAGAGGAAGGTGATGGTGAGTAGCCTTGTCTGCCTCCTCTTTTGGGGGTACCTTTCCCGGGTTTCTGTCACAGGGGGAGGAGTTGGCTCCCAGAGTGGTGACCAATGTACTATCTACAACTGGGTTTGTGCCTGTGGAGTGAGGGCCTGCCTTGTTTTAGATTAAAGCTGTGCCTCAAACTGTCTCACCTGATGGAGAGTTCCCCTCCACCCACTGATCTGTGTGGGTCTGGCTTCTCTAGGTGCATCTGCTTGCACCTCTGGGTCCTCTCTCTCACCTCTGAAGACAAGTGCCTGCATGGGTAGTGTGGGTAGCCCAGCTGCTCTCTCAGGCAGCGGGGATGTTACACCTGGGAAATCTGTTACTGGGAGAGTCCTTAAGGAATGCAGCTCCGTTTTCCATTTTTCCTGCTGCTTTCCCTAAGTTCTGGGTCCCACTGGGTGGAAGGGAGCCAAGAACCCTCCCTGGTTGGTTGGTTGGTTGGTTGGTTCCTAAAGGGTTGTGGTTCACCTGGGGTTTGATTGTCCAGGTGAGGAAGAGGATGGAGATGAAGATGAGGAGGCTGAGGCAGCTACAGGCAAACGGGCAGCTGAAGATGATGAGGTGGGTTCTGGCTTTTGAGGACAGGGTTGGGGGTGAGGGACTCGGTTGTATTTGGGGTGCTGGGTATTTCTGAGTTGCTCTAAAGGCCTCTGGAACTATCAGGAGCGGAGGCAGTTGGTGGGTGAGCCCAGTGGGTTGAAACGGACCTTAACAATGTTTTTCCTGCTCAGGATGACGACGTCGACACCAAGAAGCAGAAGACTGATGAGGATGACTAGACAGCAAAAAAAGGAAAAGTTAAGGCCTCCGTGACCTATTCACCCTCCACTTCCCGTCTCAGAATCTAAACGTGGTCACCTTCGAGTAGAGACTCCGCCCGCCTGCCTGCCCCCACCCCCGCGGGCAGCGCCACCTGCAGATGACACGCACTCTTCACCGCCCCACCAAAACCACAACGTGAATTTGCAACAGGGGAGAAAAAAGAACCAAAACTTCCAAGGCCCTGCTTTTTTTCTTAAAAGTACTTTAAAAAGGAAAATTTGTTTGTATTTTTTATTTACATTTTATATTTTTGTACATATTGTTAGGGGTCAGCCATTTTTAATGATCTTGGGATGACCAAACCAGCCTTTGGAGCATTCTCTGTCCTACTTCTGACTTTACTTGTGGTGTGACCATGTTCATTATAATCTCAAAGGAGAAAAAAAACCTTGTAAAAAAAGCAAAAACAACAAAAAAACAATCTTATTCCGAGCATTCCAGTAACTTTGTGTATGTACTTAGCTGTACTATAAGTAGTTGGTTTGTATGAGATGGTTAAAAAGGCCAAAGATAAAAGTTTCTTTTTTCCCTTTTTTTGTCTATGAAATTGCTGTTTATTTTTTTTGGCCTGTTTGATGTATGTGTGAAACAATGTTGTCCACAATAAACGGGAATTTTATTTTGCTGAGTTGTTCTAACAAAACTCTTGTCTCAAGCCTGTTTTTTCTTGTTTTGGTTTCTTGAAATCTGGGGAGGGGCAAAGAGATGGGAGATAATCTTGAACTCAGCTCCAGCTCTTGATTGGGGAGGGATAGGGGTTGAAGTCTGGGCATCAGTGTCTGGTGGTGGGCGGTGGACTTAGGAGCTGAGGGGAGCTGCTTACCAGGTTTGTCTCCTGGTGATAACAAAAACCTTTTCCTGGGGCCACATTATTGGATGCTAAGTTGAACCCGTGTGCCCTGGAAGATGTCTAGGGCCTCAGACAGGCACAGACCTGGCTACACAACAGTGAGCTACCATTCCAGTGAGAGCTGGCCTTCCCCTGAATAGGCCTTAATGGGTTTGTTATCTGAGCGGCTCCCCCTAGTGGTGGTAGGTGGCACCTTGTCCCTTAGGATTTAATTTCCAGGGCAGTGATGCACCTTGTTCTCATTCTGTAAGCTCTGGCCTACCGAAACGAGTTCCTTGGTTAGTCTGGCAGGCCATTCTGCCCCGTGAGCATAGCTGAAGATGATAGATGGGCCAGTTTTGACTAACGAGGAGGTGTGTGACCTCAGTTCCAGGCCTCGGAGGAAAGGTGATCATTAGGAGCCCACCAAGAATCTGGGGCCTGTTTCCTAGGCTGGGGTCCACAGGTGAGCTTTAGGGGCAGAAGTCTCCTGTAGTCCAGTGAGGGAGGTTTGACAACCCAGCTGTGGAGATACAGGGAATAGGGTGGAGGCTGCAGGACATTGCCAGACAGATCTAAATATACTGATCCTGATTTCATCTGTGCCTCCTTTGTCTCTCCTGAGTAGTCTTAAACATATCTGGTGTCTTGGAGTACAAGTGAAATACTTGTTTTGGGTGAAAGAAAAGCAGGATTTGCCCTAACCAGATTGGCTCAATGGATAGAGCGGTTTGGCTCAATGGATAGAGCGTTGGCCTGCAGACTGAAGGGTCCCAGGTTCGATTCTGGTTAAGGGCATGTACCTTGGTTGTAGGCACATCCCTAGTAGGGGGTGTGCAGGAAGCAAGGAGGCAGCTGATTGATGTTTCTCTCATTGATGTTTCTAACTACCGTTTTTTTAAAAAGTGGGGTTGAGGGTGGGGGACATAACTGCTCCCCCCTGACCCCCACACACACACTCCATAGCCTGGAGTTCAGATTTTATAGGGCTGGGTGTGGACAAAGATGGGTGGGGAACTGAAAAGTTATGTACCCACCCTGCCCTTCTAACACTGGCTATGTGGGGGTTCCTTTTCTCACCTTGGAATGGGGGCACACTGCTTTATCATAAGAGTCTCTGGGGCCCCAGCCCCTTTTAATAGGAAGAGACACGGGGGGGTATTTCATCCACACCTCACACTGGGGCCTGGGTTAACGGGAGATGCTGGAAGGGAGAGAAGCAGGCACACTTAAGACATCTAGGGTAAAGCATCATGATTCAGAGATGGATTGGATGTCGGAGCCCTTCCCATGGAAGATCCCCCAGGTTTTGGCCTGAGCCCTTGAGCACAAGAAGGAGCCATTTACCACAAGGAAGGGGGCAGAGATGAAGGTCTGGGGGGCAGGAGAGAGACCAGGGCTGCACCAGAGTAACAGGCGTAGGCATGAATAAGGCAACCCAGTGCGAGGGCACAGCGAGAAGAGACAAGGCTTAAGTCACACACCATTGACAATACCAAGCTGGGCACTGCCCCTCCTGATATAGAAAAACTGAGACCAGGACCTCCTCTCGCTCTTGACTATCCTATGCCTCACCTCCCTTGCTCACCAGCCAAATCAGCCTCTTGTGTCCACAGCAACCTTGGTCCTCCTTTATAGCCTTTGCACTTGTTCCTGTTACAGGTATGTCTGACTTCCAGACTTCTCATGACTCACTCCATGTTAGGTCTCAGTGCCAACGTTATCTTCCCAGACGCCTTCCTTGGTCCCCAGAGTAAGAAGGCCCTTCCCAGTTCTGGCCCTCCTTTGCAGAGCAGTTCTCACAATGTGAGCTTATATATTTACCTGCTTGTGTGTTTTGGCCCACTGAGGTCAAGGGCCACTTCTTTAAAGAAAAATAAAATACAATAAACACACACACACACACGTACACATACACAGAGTGGCCAGATTATTATGACGACCTGACGTTTGCAGGCAAATTAGCCATACATTGCATTGTATGGGATATGGAAGCCAAAGGTCTGTTCAAACACCTTTGCTGTCTGCAGTTACCAAGATAAAACATCTCCAGTTCGCACAGGAACACAAAGATTGGACAGTCGAGCATTGGAAAAAAGTCACGTGGTCCGATGAATCACATTTCCAGTTGCATCATACAGATGGCAGAATGAGAATTTCATGAAAGCATGCACCCTAAATGCATGAGTACAACCCTTCAAGCTGGTGGTGGAAGTGTTTATGGTTTGGGGCATTTTTCCTGGCATTATTTGGGCCCTTTAATTCATGTGGAATAACGTCTGAATAGCACAACATACCTAAGTATCGTTGCTGATCAAGTTCACGCTATCATGTTGATGGCGTATCCCAATGGAGATAGCTTCTTCCAACAAGACAATGCGTCATGCCATGGTGCTCATATTGTGCAGGAGTGGTTTCAAGAACACTTTACCTTGCTTAGGTGGCCCCACAATCACCAGATCTCAATCCAATTACACATTTGTGGGACGAAGTTAAAAGAGCCATCAGGCAGCTGGTTCCACAACCATTAAATCTCACAGAACTGGACAGTGCTATTCATCAGGCACGGTGTCAGATTCCTCGCATCACCTTGCAACTTCTCACGGAGTTAATGCCAAGAAAAATCGCAGCAGTGTTGAAGGCAAAAGGTGGCCCGATGAAGTACTGATAGGGTGTTCATAATAATCTAGTCACTCAGTGTAATATACAGTGTATATATTTCAGAGAGGAAGGGAGAAATAGAAACCAGTGATGAGAATCATTGATTGGCTGCTTCCACTGGGGTTTGAGCCTGCAACCCAGGCATGTGCCCTGACCAGGTATTGATCTGGTTCATAGGTCAATGCTCAACGACTGAGCCATATGGCCAGGCCACTTTTTTTCTTTTTAAAATGTTTTCATTGATTTTAGAGAGACAAGAAGGGAGAGGGACAAAGAGATAGGAACATCAATGAGAGACATTGATTAGCTGCCTTTTGCACGCCCCCTACTGGGGATCCAGCCCACAACCTGGGCATGTTCCCTAACTAGGAATCCAACTGGTGACCTCTTGGTTCATTCAACTACTGGAGTCACTTTTGGGGACAAGTGGCTTCTGACTTTTCAAGGTAAGACTGGCCAGCTGGGCTAGGGGTCACTTCTTATTAAACACTTTCTCCCCCACATGGCAAGTATTCTGTCAATTCCATTCATTTGTTCATTCATTCATTCATTCATTCGTTTGAATACATATCTGATGTTTTCTGTGCTAGACACTATAATAGGCTCCAGAGATAAAAGAACAAGAGAGACAAGCCCTCCTCATCATGACATGACTGGTGGGATACCATGCACGACCATTCCACATCTGTCTCCATCACATTTGTGGTTTCTCCAGATGCCCAAATTCTGGGAAGGCCCCTCACCCCTTCACAGGGGCTAGAGCTCAGCTCTCCTCACTGGGCCCCTCAGGCCCCAGAATGCCCATTCTCCCATTGAATTGATCCCAAACTGCTGCCAGGGTCAGGGTTAGATAAAGGCAATGTAGGAGGGAATTTCGACCCTGTGTGACCACCTTACAGCCTTGCACAGGCTGGGCTGCTGACTTTTCAAAGTAAGACTGGCTAGTTGCTCTCTGTCCTGCTGCCCAGGACAGTACAGTCTTGATGATGTTCCCAAGGCCTGGAGTCCAGGGCCACTTAAGGCAGAAGAAGGGGGTTAGGAAGGTCACATAGCAGGCAACGTGAAAAGCTGGGGTCAGGTCTAACCCAGCTCCCTCAGGCTGTGGCTCTGCTCTGCTCAGAGCTACTACTCTGCAACTCCCCGGAAAAGAGGTGAGAAGCTGCCCCATACACAGACATGGCAGTTAATAGGGGGCAAATAACTGAACCTTACTGAGTCTTCATTTGTTCCTCTGCACAATGAGAACAATAGCATGAGGCATGAGTCAGGGTGCAGGGCTGCTTCTCTTGGAGTTCCACATCTGCACTGAGCTCCCAGTTGTACCCTTTGTCCAAGCACTCCTTTACTCCACCAAAAGTTTGGCCTGGAATAGCCCTTGCTGACTCCAGCAGAACGCCCTTTTCTCTTGTCCTGAGCCTGGCACATCACATGATAAAACACTGCCTGGGAACCTGTCCTCAGGGTCCA